AAACCTGACAGATCTAGAGGAGATCTGTGTGGAGGAGTGGGCCAAAATCCCTGTTGCAGTGTGTGCAAACCTGGTCAAGAACTACAGGAAACGTTTGACCTCTGTAATTGCAAACAAAGGTTTCTGTACCAAATATTAACACTGATTTTCTCAGGTGTTCAAATACTTATGTTCAGCAGTGCTAGACAAATAAATTCTTTAAAAATCATACAATGTGATTTCCTGAAATTTTTTTTAAATTCTGTCTCTCAGAGTGGGAATGCACATACAATGTGAATTTCAGACCCCTCCATGATTTGTAAATGGGAGAACCTGCAAAATCGCAGGGTGTTCAAATACTTCTGTTCCTCACTGTATAGGCTGACTGGATACATCAGTGGCTAACACCACTGACTTATATATATATATACGTATATACCTGTAAATACAAATACTTTTTGATTAATTGACAAAGTATTAAACTAGTTGTTTGAGTATGCCATCTTAAATATATTATTTTATGCACTCACGCACCCACAAAGATTTCATAAAACTATGTATTTGGTTATCACATTTTCCCCATAACACATAATTTACAAAGCACCAGGAACCCATTTATAATGATGGAGTGAGGCATAAAAATGTTTCACATAGTTGAATGTCAGATGGCATTTTCTCTTAATCCTGAGCTAATCGCAGTTCCAAGGCGGTGTCGGACATCTGGTAAACAGGTTATTTTTAACCTGTAGCTCCCTTTCTCTGAGGCACTCTGAGCAGACCTGATGTATCTATCGTCTTTTCCCAGTGCTGCCTCTCAGCTGTGAAGGAGCCATCTTATCCTCACACTTCTTGGTTCTCAGCCAGCCTGAGCTGTTCATGTTCCTCCCCTTAACGTTGATGTAGTCGGCTTACTGCTACCGCTGTCTCCAGAGCAACTGATCATAAAGCCTTCTGTTAATACAGTCGGCAGTGTTTACTTAGCTGAATGTTACAAAAAGCTACCTCAACTCTTTTTTTAAAGGGCCGGTTCACCCATGATAAACAGGCACATTTCCCCACATGTAGTAGTACTGTAGGTGCTCAGGCACATAGTTTTTGGACCTTTCTGGAGCTCACCACACCCTGCACTCTGTTTTCAATTCTTGAAATTCTTGAGTGCATCAGTTTCTTTTTAAGCACTACACTGTGGGACAATAGTGTATATCAGCATCACACTCAAATTAAGTCATTTTGTATCATGCATACTGACTGCTCTCAGTGCACTTATTTTTGTCACTTCCACAGTGTGAACAACCTGTAGACAGACACTCTATGCACAAATGTTTTGAGTTTATGCAGCCCATAAAATGGAATCCAGGTGGTGGTTTTGAGTACAGGGAAAACAAATATTCCACAACAGCTGTGGTAGTGAACTCTCTATCTGCAGCGTTTGCTTGGAAAGCAGTAAAATGACTTCCAGGAAAATGCTGATATTCACCCTGTGGCTGGATTGCTCACTGGGGTTAAGTTACATTTTATTATCCTGCCCCGGAAATGCAGCTGAGCCATCCTCAAATGCAACCATAAGGTATAGCAACTGTACCACAGAAAAGAAAAAAAAACATTTTTACAGTAT